TAAAAAATATACGTGTATAAATAAAAAATTCTTATTCATCGAGGAACACAGTATTACGCATATTGTAAGACCTAAGAAATAAAATTATAAATAGTTTTTCAAAATTCTAATTCTGTTAGAATATCTATGAGGCTATTACACATATTTGATTAGAATGATGAGTAATTATTTCAGTTTTCTTTATACAATGGATTTTTTGTAATGGATTTTTGTCGATATTTCAATTGGAATTCTAACGTTAATTAAATCATCATAAACTGAAACAATATTTTATTAATACTTGTTTATTTTTTCTTCAGTTCTTCGAAGATTAATTTCACATATATATGGAGCGCAAAATGACACAATAACCTTGATCTCAAGAATTGAAATTCTAATAATTCCAGTTGAATTAGTAATACAAATCGAATTCATAAGCGTGCATAGAAACTTTACAGCGACATTACAGAGATATCGCAAAGATATCTTTTTACAATATTACTTCAGCAATGTTACAGCATAAAATCGAAAATTATTGTATTACTACAATTATTGTATTATCGAAAAGTGGTTCATTTATGTGTCCCTTTTTGATTAAAGATTGATTAAAGATTAGCAAAGATAAAAAGAAACAGAGAAAAAAGAAGATAAAATACAATGTAATAAATAAAGTTTTATCTATTTACCATAGTACTAATGAGTATAGTAACTAACTCCTATGGAGTTATTAACGTAAGATAAAAAGCTTCTAAAAAAGTCCGCCGACGTAATGACAATTATTTCTCGCGTGATTACACTAAGCAATACACAAAAATTGTGACATAAGACGTCATTAAGATTTTCTTTGCAAATGCAAAAGAAACATTTCATGATTAAATTTTAGACACTTTTAGGTACGGCTCATAAATATTCAACGACGGATATTTATATTTTATTTTTTTAAAGCTATGTAAATGTTTTATATATTAAACTTTATAGGAATAAATTGACACTATTTGTTCACATATTTTGATTGTATGTAAATTAAAATTATTACCCGGTAAATAATTTTTCATGCATGTATAAATATTCTAAAAAGTAATTTTACAAAAGAAAGAGGGATAGATGATCATATTTATATGAACATATTTCATATAAAATTATGTTTATGAATATTTATGTACGTTTTATATATGTTTATACACATTTATGCATGACAAATTTTTTAACCGGTAAAACAATATTTATCAAATTAACTGTCTCCAACTATCTTAATCTTAAATCGATATTACAATATTTCTCATCATTTTGTTTGTTTGTACTACATTTTTCAAAGCAATCCATAATTAAAATAAATTAAAATGAAAAATGAAATAATGGGAAATATCAAATGTAAAATTCGATTCAAGAATAATTCGATAAATGTTGTTTAAATAATTTAAATTTACATACAATACAATCAACATAAACAAAAATAGCGTTAATTACTCTAACAAAGTATTATCTGTGTTAGCAACAGTATAATATCGAAAACGCTTACTTAACTTTAAAAATCGGAGTAAAATATAAAAGATCTGTCGTTTGAAAATAATATTTATGAACTGTAGAGTACAAAATCGATCGGTCGGCAGCCAGACATATTGCAAACAGGCAATGGCGATAAGTCTGGCGATAACGCAATTAACGAGACGATGGGGGGCTCCTTATCGTGATATTTACGCGCCTGGTTCAAAATTCGGTCGCACGCGGGGAACAGACAAGGATTGGATGAGACTGACCAAGACTGACCAAGACTGACGAGAGTAGAGTGGCGTCGCAGCTGTATCACGCATCGGTCAGCTGTACTTTGTGCTCGAACCTAGATAACCTCTTCGGGAGGCGAAAAGTGCCGAATCCCCTCTCCGTCGGCAAGTAGAACAAGAATATGCTGTATAAAGACCGAATTCTCGTCTCATTTTACGCAATTTCACATTCACTAGTGCAGGCACAACGAACAACGTTTAAATTCGCGCCATACGAAACACCATCGACGACGTCTCGGAAAAGTTACGTGTGTCGTAGGTAGCAGGAGTAGGTTACGTAGACGAAGTTGTAGAGAGAGGCTAGATCAGAGCCGTATCTTACTTCCGGCGCAGGTGAATTTAATTTCGGTTCAAACTGTCAGCAAACGGAGGAATGCAAAAGGACTGTCGAGATTGTCTGGGTATCCGGTACCGCATTAATTCCCTGGACCAGACCTGGAAGTGGTTGCATCAGACCATCGCCTTGCACGACTACCTGATCTCTATAACTGCGAGCCAGACCAACGTCTCCATGTGTTTTTCTCAGTAGAGGCCATTCTTTGTCTACTGAGAAACAGAGATTGATCCAAGACTGATCTCACTGAGGTAATTTGGGAGCCTCACGGTTTATTATATCCAAGACTGATATATGTATATGTAATATACGTATATATGTGTACGTGTGACTTGCGTCACGGTGACGTTAAATAGATCAGGTAGTCTGCGATCAACCGTTTGCCCAACGCAACCAAGATATCCCACTTTGTTTTTACACACCACACGCAATGTCTTTGTCTGCTAGACTATGTGTCGTTGTTAGGTGCTGTTCATCTCTAGACAGTGCCCGTCAAACTGCCAAGCAGATCACTAGGTATGCGTCGACCTTTAATGCACGCGACAATAATAATTTCATCCAGAAGTCAGTATTTATATCACAATCCACGGATGTGTTCGTCAACCTAGCATTAGAGCACTGGCTGTATCGCAACTTTGACTTCTCCAAGCATCACATTTTGCTGTTCTGGAGGAACGATCCCTGTGTGGTTTTTGGCCGCCATCAGAATCCCTGGCTTGAATGTAATGTTCAAGCATCCGAAAAGGCAGACATTGCGCTGGCACGCCGAAATAGCGGCGGTGGTACTGTTTACCACGACAATGGTAATCTCAACTTGACATTCTTTACTCCACGTGAAAGATATAATCGGAAATACAATTTGAACATCATCACGAACGCTTTGTTTCGGCAATGGGGACTGAAGAGTGTGATCAACAAGCGAGAAGATATTTTAGTTAATGATGATTGCAAGGTATCTTTTAATATAAAAAATATTTCATTTCAAAAAATCTCTCATTTCATTTATATCTAGTAATTCAAAATTAAATATTCATTTTTGTATAATCATATGTAATATAACATGATCAGTATACACTTCAAGTCTAAAGTGTGAAAACACTTAAGAAATTGATATTTTTGAAATTATATAAATATCCATAACAATTGGTTTTTTAACAATAGTTCCTTAGATCCAGAAATTGTTAGATTTAAATGACAAATTATTGTTAAAAAGGACATTATTATTTGAGTGAGTAATCCAAAAAATGTCAAGTTTTAAAGAGTTGCTAAACCTTG